CCTGCACGATTTTCAACGAGGAAGAGTACAATCTCAATCCCGCGAATCCCTCCCCGTACTCGCACGCTCCTCTCACGTCGGATACAGCTAAGACAGTGCAACACCTCTCCGCAGCTTAGCTTTGTCCCAAAAACAGAGCAAAGTCAAAAGTATCTCCTCGGGTTCTTTGTCATGACGCAGTCTACTCATCGAGATCCGATGCCATTCTTCAGCGTGTGAGTAACACTGCGTGGTACGGCGCACTGTCGTATGCACGACGACGACGCCTGCTCCGGCGGCAACTTCGGCGCGAGCACCCGGTTCGTACTCGTTCCGTGGCTTTGGACATGGCTTCACTCACTTTTCATTTGTCCATCTCAAGCTTGTCATGGTCAACGGCATCCTCGGCCTTCTGGCGCTGATCGTTGCGGCGGTCATCGCTGCGGGCACGCCCAACTCGTCGGGCACGAACAACGGCTTTTACTACTCGATGTGGTCGGACGGCGTCTCGGACGTGACGTACACCAATCAGGCGGGCGGCGCGTACTCGGTCAAGTGGTCGAGCGCGAGCAACGGCGGTGGCAACTTTGTCGCGGGCAAGGGCTGGGCCGTCGGCGCGCACCGCACCATCTCGTACACGGGGACGTACACGCCCCAGGGCAACAGCTACCTCGCCATTTACGGCTGGTCGCGCAACCCGCTCATCGAGTACTACATTGTGGAGAACTACGGCACGTACAACCCCGGCAGCGGCGGCCAGCTCAAGGGCACCGTCACCTCGGACGGCAGCGTCTACGACATCTACACGTCCATGCGCTACAACGCGCCGAGCATCGACGGCGACAAGACGTTCCAGCAGTTTTGGTCCGTGGTACGTAGTCACTTTTACCAACTGAATGTTGTTTAACGCGTCGCTAGCGCCGCAACAAGCGCACGGGCGGCACCGTCACGACCGCCAACCACTTTGACGCGTGGGCCAAGCTCAACATGAAGATCGGCACGACGCTCGTGTACCAGATTGTTGCGACCGAGGGCTACCACAGCAGCGGCTCGGCCAGCATCACGGTGGCGGCCGACGGCGCTTTGCCCAAGCCGACGGCGGCGCCGGTCCAGCCGACGACCAAGCCGACGACCAAGCCGACGGTCAAGCCCACGGCCAAGCCGGCGTCGAACGCCA